TCGATCCACATAAATACGGGAGTTAATGTCTGACCATGTTTTCACACAACTTACAACCAATTGTTAAAGTAGGGGATTTTGTTGACATTAAATAAAACTTCATAAAATAGATGAATTTTAAGACTAAAATTCAGAATTTAAAGAACGTTTTCGATTCCAACCCCTATTCAAATACTACGTTGTAAGTTGCAATGTGACATCAATTCAAGTTCAATCTAGGTTCGTAATTAAACTCTTAGCATGCTCTAATATCTCCAAATTGACAAGAGTATTTTACTCAAAACAAGATCTTTAAGTAAAACTTCATTTAGTTGATAAAATCCAAACAAGCTCTTAGATTAAATCACTAAAAGACTTTAAATTCATGCAAAGAAAACCAACAATATCTAATATTTCTCATAAGCTTGGAAATATGAATATTTAATCTTTTATTACATTCATTTTGATTTAACTGAAACCAATCAAGTGTTTGTTATCAATTACAAATCATAAAACATATACGAATTTCATAATTTGACTAACAACCATGATATGAACCCTAATTTCATTGATCAAGTGAAAAGAGTACAAATCAAGTACATAATGAAGACCAAATCAAAGATTGCTAGATAATAACCATGAAATCAGTTCACCTCACAATCTAACAACAATTAATTAGGAATCTAGAACCGGAAATGGAAGGAAAAGTTAGCCACACATGGTTGAATTGAAGTACAAATTCAACAAGTTTAATCCTTAAACAAACTTACAATTTCATAGAAATAATGTTTCCAAAGCACTAAATGATGATATGTTCTTCCCAAAATCACCTCTCCAAGTGTAATTTCGAATTTGTCTTGAAATGGCCCCAAAAATCCTTTTAACTAGAAGTTGAAAAATGCAAAAAAACTAGCATACTACGTTCCACGACCGTGTAATAGATATGCCTTGAGATTCCATGGGCGTGGAATGTGAAATTGACTTATATGCTAAGGACTCCATTCCATGACCGTGGAATGGATATTGTAATCATTCCACGACCGTGGAATGTTCTGAGTAAATGTCGAAAATCTAAATTTCTCATTTTCTTCAATCTTGCTCCGATACTTCTGAAACTTTGCAGAGAGCTTCCCTCGAACGCCCTAAGCATGCACAAATCCTCAAACTCCCCTGAAACATCCACAAAAATGGTGAAAAGTAGATTGATCCTCGAAAATGTCCCAAAAATGCAAAATTCATGTAAAGTTAAACTAAATGCTATGCAATACTTGAATTAAACATGAAACGAGCATGTAAAAAGGTGCACTTTATGGACCTAAAAAAATCTCCCCAAGCTTGAACTTTTCTTGTCCTCAAGAAAGAACGAGAACCAGAAGAAAGGGATGGTTTCTAGGTGGCAAAAGAGATAATGGAAAAGAAAAGAATAGAAAAGGAAAGATAGACCCTACGAAAGCTAGGAATGGATGCATGCAATGTAACGTCCTATTTTCACAACCAAAAATTTCATTTTTAATTAAGGAAAAACTACTCATTTTCAGAATACAAGTTAAGAATACCAATTGTTCCAAAGTACATTGTTTAAAATAAGAGTATTATAGTAAACGCAAAATCTTCATTGTTGTTGATGAATGTGTACAGTCATACCTTCGGCTTTCCATAGTCACTAATGATGCCTGAAAACAGTAATAGTTGGGTAAGCACGAAGCTTAGTGAGTTCCCCCGAAATATCTCATATAACACAACATCACAATCAACTATGTGTTATCAACAAGCCTGGGGAGTATCAGCAGTCTCAGTGGGCTAACAGCACGCCCTGTGGATTAACAACACACTAGCTGGGTTATCAGCAACCCTGGGGACTATTAGCAGTCCCATGGACTTTCAACAGTCCAGGAGTTATCAGTAACTCAATTCACATATAACAGTAATCAACAGATAAGACCCAACTAGTCAACATGCATAAACTACAACACATGCAAGTATAGTGAGAGGACTCACCACCGCGTACTAGACCCCTCACACCACACTGCTCCGTTACCAGCAAATCTCTATGGAATGCATAGCCATAAGTTATCAGAGGTGAGATAGCCACCCAAACAGATGATCCTACTCTAAAGCCACAACCAATCAAGGAACATGCAATAAAGCCTAGGTCAAGAGTTCTCAGGCTATCCTACATGGCTACATACGACCCTTAGGGCATTCCACTAGATGATAACCAACCTACTAGTACTCTAACCATCATATCACTACTACTGTATCCTAACACATAAGGATATAAATATATCTAACAACTCACTACAACGCAACAACATCCTATACATAAGGATACATAGCCAAAAGTAGTGGGCCGACATTGGTGCCTCCGACCCATGGGTACAATGAGGAAAACTCACCCGCATAGAAGAACCCAGAAACACTACGACGCGCTTCCCTTTCTGCACTACTTGCTCCCACAAGCCCACTAGTACCAAAACATGGAAGAATCTTAATCAACAACCCAAAACCTTTAAGTTTGAACCAAAGTCAAACTGGTCAAAAAGTCAACGGTCAATAGGTCAACTGACCCTCACGATGTGACGAGCATAGTCTCATGTCGTGAGACATTAAAAAGAAAAAATAATCGAGACTCCTTGATCCTAACGACGTGACATAAATAGTCTCATGTCGTGAGCTTAGTCTGAATGGTATTCTGATGAAGAAACTCCTTAATCCATTAAGCCACTAATCCATCTTCCCCAGAAGGCTTCCTAGCATCCCAAAGACCATAAAAATGATGCTTTAAGGTCTTGCATGTCCAATGCAAGACTTGAGCTCAAATTAAGGCATTCATGAAGAAAAAGGAGGTCAAAACTCAAGCATGAACTCAAACATCATCCAAATTTCAGTTCCACTACATATAATCACCAAGGGACTCTAAGGACCCATAAATTTGCTAACTTTACGGAGTCCCAACACTCTAACTCATCTAACAATGGATAAACATGCATAAAACCTTACATCTAGCAACAGGAAATCACAAAGCTTGAATCTTGGTTACTCACAAAGGTCTAGAGATGTTGCTAGCAGATGCAAATGAAGCTTCCAAGCTGGATCTATGCTCCAAAGGTGATCCTTTCTTCTTCAAGCCACCAAAACACCACCAAAATCTCAAAAATCACAATGAGAGGCTAGGGTTAGGGTTTTTATGTGTTGGAGGATGAAGGAGACTGTAAATGAACCCTAAAATGAAGTTTATGGGGGTTTAAATACGAAGGAAACCCTAAAAGATCATGGGCTTGGGCTGCAACGTATCCATGTCGTGAGCACTAGTGTCTCACATCGTGAGATCAGTTAAATCAACATTTTCATTTAAACACTTGTAACGTCGTGACCTCTCTATGGTCACGTCGTGACATCTGGTTTTACCCAAAAACCATGCCTATGACTCCTTGAAGCCCTAAACCGATCCGTTCTTGAAACTGGGTGTTACATGCAATGAAAAAGATTATAGATGAAAACATAAATGCAATGAAATAGAAACAAAAATTTAATACTAAAAGAAAATAAAGCTTTGTTTTTATCTAAAAGTCTTGCATTTTCAAAAATCGCCAAGGGTATAAAAGTCAAATACCAATCATCCAAACACACAAAACATTTTTGTTCAATTATTAATCTCACTCTCAAGAAAATCTCAACAAAGTCACACCTTGAACGTTGTCCTTAAAAGAGACAGTCATGGGGCCGGATTTCAAGTCAGAGGGTCGTAAGGCTTCTTATGAAAGTCACCGATTCAATGGTTTTGAAAATGTAGACAACCCCGGTCTCAAGTTACTTTATTTGGAAAGGTATTATATTCTTAAAAATGGACCGCTTCCCAAAACTCTCTCGTAGTACTCAGGGTTAACTCAACCTTGCTCCCCATCCCAGCCTTACTGTCCATCTTGGGCTTACTCCCAAAAGCATAAATCGCTACATCCACCCGTTATCTTTGTGTTTCTTGTGTCTTTGACTTTTCAAATTGATTTCTTCGATTTGCTTGATGAACTTTGTTCTTTCATTTCTTCAAGTTGCTTGCTTGTTTGAAATTCCTTTTTTTAAAGATACTTGATTGCTTCTAAATCTCTTTGCTAGAAGACTTTCCTTATGGTCCCTCGTCGATCTTCTCAGATACTGAACTCTTTGAGCCCTTTGATGAGAGAAGTGAACTTTGGCATGATTTTGTGCCCCAACAAATCTACAATACTTCAGTTGACATGTGGATGGGTGGATGTAACAAAATCCTCTTTCAAGAAGTTTACCCAAAAGCAATTCTAAGAATGGGTGCCCGATTTTTTACAACAAGAACTAACATTAAGAATTGGGTTTATAGGGATGCAGTATATTTAACAGTTGTTTTACCTTCCTTCACTCTATAATTTAACATAGAAAATCATCTACCCTCTTATTTTGAGTTACCAAACCGCCTCGAATCACCATGGAGGACGCCTGCAGAACAATCATTCTCTGTTTATGCGAGACTCCTTTGAAGTTAGGAATTATTTCACATATTTAATAATGTTATTTATTTATTATTTATTATTTATTTATTTTTTGTATGTGTTTCGAATTCAAAGTGGTCAACTACTCATATCCTTTACGATTGATGGATCAATTTTCTAAAATAAATTTTTTAATGCATTGCAAACTAAAATTAAGTTGAAAGCAAAATCTTTTTGTGAATTTTTTTAAAATATTTGTTTTTTATAAATAAAAATGGAATGTAATAAAATGATTCACCCTCTCCCCAAGCTTAAAAATGTGCATTGTCCTCGATGCTTGGGAAGAGAGCGAGACAAATTACTGAGGGTTTTGAGGGGGGGTATTGAAGGTATGGTGGAGGATATTGGGGTGGGTATGGAGGGTAGTATGGTGGTCGTTTGGGTTGACCACCCAAAACAACACTGGATGCATATCATTCATAAGAGTATGCACGTGCTGGTTATACGTTTGTTGGCTCTCTCGAAAGGAAAATTCTTCTCTCAAATCTACCATCTATGTATTCATTTCACAAGAACTGTGATAAAAGTTGGAATAGTCATGATGGAGGCGTCTATAAACTGTAGCAAGTGCTGAAATTCTTGCATGTACATATCATGGTGAGGATGCATGACATGCTCTTGTTGCACTGACATAGCAACATCAGGAACAAGAGCATCAGGAATAGGCTCATATGCATTAGGCTCAACATTAGCCCCGGGCATTACAACACCTAAAATGGAGTTAAGACACAATATCATGTCGGAGAGTGGGTAAGTGAGGGTTAGAAGTTGGCGATTTCGACTATCAATGTGAAGATAGTATTCACCCTCAACTTGCCAGTAAACATCACGCTCATCCACCCGCAGTAGTTGCATATTGTGGAATACAGTGGTGGTTAGGCGGCGTTCACCTTGAATAACATCAAGACCTTCGGGAAACTAGATTCCCAAAGCAGGATGTGTTTAAGAGAATGGTGATCATGCCACCACAATGTAACTGCCCGCTGTTTCTTCTGTTGAGTTTTAGAAGTTTGTAGATAACCCATTATCCAAATTCGGGTCGGAGATTGGGGCTATAAATTGAACACCATAACAAATCTAACTCTTTTTCACAACTTTTCTGAATTCCTCTTGAGGAAATAAGATGGAAGAGAAAATATGGTGGACAACTTTTAATACGTGATAAATGAGATTTGTGGCTTTGGTTGAACTTGAATTGTATTCGAGTCCTGTAATTCTTCTCCAAAAATGATCATGGTCAAGAAAGAATTCTGGTTTATCCTCCTAAATGGACCATATGTGTTAATGGTCAGAGAACCAATAATTTCACGAATTTGGTTCTTGTGAAGTTGGTGATTTCGATTGAAAGCACAGAAGGATAAGAACTCAGTGGCACGATTGAACTCAACAGAAGATAGGAATTCTAAAGTAGGTTACAGATAACCCACATCACCAAATGAGAAAATACATTCCCATCTAATATCACTACTAGAATTCATGTTCCCAACGTTAACCCTCCGTTAGAATTGATCCCCAAAACCACCACAAGGGACCTCTGTCGTCATCTTTACTTCTTCTAACATCATCAGTAACCTCCCTTCTCCATTGTCTCATCGTCGACATCATCTCCAGACAACAGTGTTGCCAGAAGGGTGGTAATCTGTCTATGTCTTCAAGAATCGATGGACACTCAGATTCTTATCCAAATTGATATACATAAATTGATTTTTATACAAAGATGATAATATGTAAAACGCTCAGACGACGCGTAAGGAAGGCTCTGTTATAACGAGAGACGACACGCTTTTGCGCGTCGTCTATAGACGACGAGCATTTACGACACGCATTTATGACACGCAATGCGTATCATTAAAACCCCTTTCAAGAAAGGCCATGTCATAAATGAAGATGACACACATTTTTGCGTATCGTAAATTTAAATGTAAAAAAAATATATTTATATATTTATTAATTTTTAAATTAAATTTGCATTTAATGTCTCATAATAGAAATAAAATACTATATACAAAAAATACAATCCATTGCATAAAATTTAATGTCATACAATTCTATTTCTTACAATATATAAATTTGCATTCATCTAATCTACTCTGTGTTTCATACTAACAATTGAAATGAAGAATGCAACACTTGCATTTGCAGCATCTTATCTCTTTCAGCTTGAGCTTTCTTTTCCTCTTCTAACTCCAGAGCTATTCACTTTCATCAACCCTGTAAACACAACACAAAATCACTTGTCATTTTCATTCTACTTTTAAAATTAATTCTTATTAGGACATTCTACTTTTAAACCTACCAATCTAGCAAAATTTTCAAAGAATATAATTCTAACACCTTGTTTATTGAGTGAATAAATAAATAAATTAATGAACGAATAGTATCCTTAAAATAAATAATTATATATCAAAGGATGGTCTCGAAGGGCTAATTGTCACAATTATAGAAGTTGGGGGTTAAAATGTGATTTTCGGATTAAATTGTATAGAATTTTGAAGGTTGAGGTTCGTTTGGTAATTGTTAGGACGTAATAGGTAAAGGATTTCGAAAGTAGGGACTAAATGGGAATTTATGGGACTTCATTTGAAGAGATTATGAGGATAGGGGCTGCTTGGTAAATATGAGATTAAAGTTGAAAAGATTTTATGGGTCAGGGGCTAAAGCGTAAGTTTTGGGCTTGATTTGAGAAGAGTTTTAGAGGGCAGGGTTGAAAAGGAAATTTTTGGATTTACTTTGAAAGAAAAAGAGAAACGGAGGGCCGATCTTGACATTATGGCAATCTTTTTGTGGAGCCGGGTATAAAACGTCACCACCGGCCAAACCCTAACCCTAGAAGACTATTCCAGCCTCCACCTTCACACCTTGTGACTCCTCAGTCGCCACCTCCCTTCCACTCACGTTTCCGATGCGGACCAGGTCGCTATCTGCTGTCGGCGACACCGTGAGCGACAAGGACCAAGCGAGACCGGATTTGGAGCGGTACATGGCGAAGTGTGGGCTGCTAGCGAACGGATCATCGCCGGAGAAACGAACTAGGGAGGATCCCCGACCGTTGAAGCACGAAGCCACTGCCCTTCGCCATCTGTTAAGGCGTTAGTGCCACTCCGAGTTCGATAGCCGCCATTCCCTTTTCTTCTTCTGTTCAGCCGTCACCTTAGAAGCTTTCACGCCGCCGCTGTCGGTCTAGAGCGACGTTGCTGCCGTTCGATGAGCGCCACCAGGTGGGTGGCTGCCTCCAGATCTCGATAGTGATGTGTGTGTGTTCGCTGTCTCGCTGCTGCCGCTACGCCGCCATGGCTGTCGTTTCTGCCTTTTCCGCCGCCACTAGCCACCTTGAGAGGTGGCTGTGGGTGTAGTTATGGGTGTGTGTTCATGTGTTATTACTGTTTCCGGTAGTTATGAGATTTTATGTGTGTTTGTTTAGCTGAGGTTCACGGAAAAGCCACCACCACCACTGACCACCACCGACCACCACAAGGGTGGTTGTGTGTGTTATTATTATTATTAGTGTGTGTGTGTGTATTATCGAGTTTTACATTGTAATGGTGGCAAAATAATAATAGAAATCTCAAACCACCACCGTAGGATGGTGGCTGCCGCCACCGGCCGCCGTGTCGGGTGGCGGTGTGCCTCGTTTGTATTATGATTCATTTTGGGATGCTTGAAACCCTAATGGGCCCAATGAAGCCTATTGGGCCTAGTGAAACCCTAATGGGTCTAATAAACCCTAATTGACCTTAGTGAAACCCTAATAGGCCTAGTGGAATCATAATGAGCCTAATGAACCCTAATTGGTCAAAGGACCTAGCTATTGGGCTAATATGGGTTGGAAACCCTAATTAGGGTTTGGAAAACCCTAATGCAATGAAACCCTAATTTGGGGAATTAATCGGGACACACGAGAATTATTTAATAACTTGAAATATTAAATAATAATCTTTGGCAAAAAAATTAATCTAAGCAATATTGAACTTAATGGATTAAGTCCTTAATGGGTTAAGTAGGAAACTTAACCCTAATCATCATTTTATGTGAAACCCTAATTTCACTTGGGCCTTAAGTTGGTCCTTTCTATTGGGCCTAAATGATTATGATAATAATGGGCTATCGAAGAGCAAGCAATTGAAATAGAATAATTTAATGGGCGTAGGGTAAGGTCCATGTAAGGGGTTTGAGCCCAATTTGGAAAATTAGGCCATAGATGGGCCATTATTTGGGCCTTGATGATTATGAGACATTGGTCATTTGAATGCCAATTGTTTGGACTGGATTAAATGGTTGAGCCTTATGGGAAGACCATGTAGAGAGTTGGGCCCAATTTGGAAAATTGGGCCATATGTTGGGCTGTGAATCATAGTTGACTTTTGGGCCTTTGGATCGAGCCTTGGGCTTGAATCAAGCTAAGATAGGGGTAAAGCAGTCTTTTACCCCAAGCATGGACTTATGATTTTTGTGTTGGAACCCAATTATTAATTGGGTGATGTTTTGATATTGACAGTTCGGGAATCTGTCATCCAGTAGCTGAGGTTTGTGTCTACGGGACTTCAGCAGTGTAAGGTGAGTTACCTTCCTGTAGCGGTGGGTCTACGGCCACAATGCCGGCCCACCAGTAGGAGTTGTATGTTAGATGATTGTCTTTGTGATATTCATCTAGGTTTGCTACTACCTGATATGTTTATGTGCTAGCATGATATGTTATATGTGATAGTGGTAGTAGGGGGAGTATAGTCCCCAAGTTCGGTCGTTAGGACCGAAGGGTAGGTCGGGCACCCCAGAATTGCCTGACAGTATGTTTATGCTATGATATTATGTGGTAGTAGTAGGAGGTGAAATAGTCCTCGTATGTCGGTCGTAAGGACCGACAGGTAAGTCAAGCACCCCAGAATGGCTTGACCTGGGTAGGCCAGGCACCCCAGAATTGCCTGGCAGTATATGTGTGTTATATTATTACATGGTAGTGGTAGGGGGTGAAATAGTCCCCGGTAGTCGGGTGAAATAGACTGACGGGTAAGTCAAGCACCCCAGAATGGCTTGACCTGGGTAAGTCAAGCACCCCAGAATTGTCTGGCAGTATGTTAATGTATGGTATGTGGTATGATGGGGGAACTTACTAAGATTAGTGCTTACGGTTTACAGTTTTGGTTTCAGGTACTCGTTTTCAAAGGAAAGGAGCCGACTCGATCGCAGCGCATCATACTATGGTTTTCTGCACATGAGATCTTTGGGATTATACTCTGATATTGTTTTATGATAACATGTTTTGATTATTTCTACTTTGGTTTTGACATGACATGATATTATGGATGTTTTCTTATACTGTTGGTTTTATAATAACTTATCTAAAAATGAAATTTTTTGCCTTAAATTTTGGGATGTTACAATAATTTATAATTTTTTTATGGAATGTACATTGCTATTTCTTGAATACAAGATGTTACAAATCAAGAAACTTACATGGACTGTTGACCACTGGTTTCCTGCATCATCTAAGTATATATGTACTCATCAACTCTCTGCTTTGCCAAAGCAACCTATTTCACATCAAATTAAAACTGATTTTCATCAAATTTGTATTATAAATATATTAATATTATTTTGATAACAATTTTTTTAAAGGAATCACCAACCTGCTGAGCACTACCACCCAAGTGAATTTGTCTATGTTTGTTTTCCCCTTTCCCACCATGACCCTGCAAGACACGAGACATCAAATAAATCACAAGTAAATTTTGATTTTTTTCCTTTTCAGTAACGATTAACATTTAACAAAAAAACAAAAGGCCAACCCACTCCCTTTGCCTCATTCCAGCTAACCCACTCCCTGAAAACAAGAAAAAAATAAAAAAATATCAACCAACATTTTACTTATATTTGAGAGGTTTTCATATTGATTTGTTTATTTGTTAATAAGTAGTTTACATACTACACCTATTAGAGCATTTTGAAAGAAGAAAGTAGAATTGTATATCAGAAAAAAATAAAAAAAATATCAACCTACTAATTTGCATCATATGGTATGGATCCATTATAAGTTAACACAAAAAATGGGAAAAAAGATAGAAATACCCCTCTCCATACCAGCAAAATCAAGCAAACAGTTTAAGAACGAAATCCTAACGGATCTTCTGACTTTCTTGCTTCGGTCAGTCCTTTTTCAGAATCTGCTATTATTTCTGCTTCTGTTTTCTGTCAAAAGAATACCATATCACTTTCAATATAATTTTCAGTTAGATTCATATCTTTTGGGAGTTGTTTAGCAGATGGGCTGTTATAGTGTTGAAATAATATTGCTAGCTTCATCTCTCAATTTCAATTTATATCATTTTTTGATATGAATCAATATAACTGAAATCAAATGTAAATAACTATGTAGTTTCTCATTATAGACAAGAAAATTAGTACATACAAATTTTAATTTGATTCTAATTATTCTTATTGTAAAAATACACATACTTGGGAGTTGGGATTAGATTAAACTAAATAGGTAGTATATTTTTTTTTACTACAGAACAACAAATAAAAATACATTTTATATATTTCTAACAGTTACCAAATTTGTACCTCTTTCTTATTTATATTCTTGTTAAAATTAAAGAAAATACGTTTTATAGTTATAAAATCTTTCAAATATTTATATTCTTGTTAAAATTAAAGAAAATCCTGTTTCTAATCAAAGGTTGATCTTCTACATCTTCAACTTGATTTGGAATCAATGAGCTGCTCCCCACATCCAACCTATTTTACATTCCAATATGTTTCAAATAAACTATTTGTGGGTCCCAACACAATGCTCCATTCCATTCAATTACTACATACCAAACACTAGTTCAGAAACTTATTACTTACCTTCCATTTGATGCTGCCAATGTATCCACTTCTGTAGTGATTATAGAACATGGTTTGGCATATAGAATTTAAGATTGCACAATGAACACGGTGATTTCGGTGTTTAAGAGATGTATTGATTATGTATTGTGTTACAAAAAGGGATCTAGATCTAGTCTACATAAATAACACACACTTACACACTCAACTTTTACACCTCTCAAGCACACCTCTACAAGTGGACTAAACCCACCTTATATAGAGGTGTTTACATGTCTCTCTCTCACTCTGTATCTCTCATGTGTCATAAGGCTAATACTCCACATGCAAGTGGGTCTACAAAAGTCAAACATTTACAAAGTCAATCATGAATAACTTTGTACCCCAACATTCTCCCCCTCAATAGTTAGGAATGAATGACCCACTTCAATTCTTCCAAAATCGAGTACTACGCGATCTGAGCCTCAAGGGTGACACATGTTGAAACGAACTTCAATCTTCAATTGTTCCATGATTCTTCAATTTGGGCTCTAGGATGTGAGACCATACAAATCGAGCATCAACGAATGATCACGAGCTTCTCAAACTCCAAATTGATCACCAAAAGTTGAGCATAAAAACACACCCCAAAAATCTTCAATAAAACCAAACCCATTTCGAAACGAAATCACTTCCAAACATCCAATTGCATCATTTCGTAAGCTTCAAAAATTCAAGGTCACTTCGGTCTCCAAATACGCGTAATATGAAAAATTCAAGTTCGAATTTCCATAAATTTCTCCCCCTTTTTATAATCGAAATTTGATTATAAAACCTTCAAGGAAAGAGAACGTGTTCAATTTGGAATTTTTCGTGTCAAAACTCCCCCTTAACATGTGGCATAAACTTTGTGCTTTAATCCGGAAAACCCAAAAAATCTTGAATTTTTAACTTCGTTCACGGACCGCCTTTGACAAAATTTCTCAAAAATGGGTAGAAATTGTCAATTTCAAAATTCTGCAGTGACTCGGTGCGCCTAATACAGCCAAAAATGCAAAACACTCCCCCTTTTCCAAATTTGGGTAGAAAGCGTCAATTTGCATAAACTGCAGGGGCCTGAAATGCATTTTCTTCAATTTTCAGCAAAATCAGTCCTTTTTCGAATTTGGGTATGAACCGCCAAAAGTTCGAAACCTCAGGGACTAATTTCGAAACTTCTTTATTTTCCGAAGCTTTTACCAAACATACGAAGGTTTAGGGGCTGATTTCGAAAAATTTCCATTTTTCTTCAAAACTAACGAAGACTAGGCCAATTCGTACGAAAGTTTTTAAAATATGTCAAATTGTCGAAATTTCAGGGGCCAAATTCGAAACTTCTTCACTCTTCTTCAAAACATACGAAATTATACACCCTTCGTATGAAACTACACAACACCCTTCGTACGAATTCTCAGCACCAAAATTTTCTCTCTCCCCTTCATTAGATTCAATCAAAGCACCAAATTAACGAAATTTTTCAGTCCATTTTAACGAAGGCATACGAAGCCTTATCCATGAACAGTAACCTCTTCATTCTTACAGTTCTTCCCAAAATCAAAAAACTTTCGTGCGTTCAATCATCAACTCAACATCAAACAACCTTCGCTTTTTGTAACTCAACCCAACTGTTCGTCAATTTGTCTCGTTCCCAATCAATACCCATAAACAAACGAACATTGCCCCTTCGTTCTTCATTACTCAGCAACAAGTCTCAAAATCAAAGATTCTTGACCTAACTCACGATCGATTCCAAATTAACGAACATAGACTCCAATCTTTCGAAATCAACAATCAAATCTCTTCATCTGTTCGTTAATTCCAAACCATCATTCATACGAACCTCATTCACTCAAACATCAAATCCAGACTCCCCAAACTCAAGGCTTGGTTTTTAATCCATTGATGTCAAACCCATCTAACAAATCAAAATCAACGAATCCTTCCCAAAAACGACTATCCCTGTAGATACGAAATCAATCGAATACAATTTGACTTGAAAAAGTCAACTTAAAATCGATTTCGTTTTCACACTCAAAATACATTCCATCAATCAGTTCTAACTAACAATACTTGAATTGAAATCACGATCAACAGAATCACGATACTTGAATCAAACTGTTCAATCGACTATAACAACAAATCGAAATTGTTATTCATCTAATTCCGATTCCAAGCAAGAACATTCGATTTTGATTTTTCAAAAACTCATTCGACTCCTACTGATTTCAATCACCAAAAACGAATTTCAGACTGCAATTACTAACTCCGATCAAAGTCAATTTCGTTTGATTTCAATCAATGCAAACCGATTCTTCCGACCCCTACTGTTCAAGGCGAACCAGGCTTTGAATATTGAAAATCAATTTCAGATGAGTAGTTCCAAAATTTATTCCAATTTGATTCAGATGATAAAATCGATCAAGGATAAGGAAAAATAAAAACGACTTATTTTTGTTTTGATCGATTTGAATGCTGAAGATATGAACAAACATACACATATGACACGATGAAGAACAGTAACCAGATTAGGACTTGGATTAGGCTCTAAAAGTTTCATGAACACTAAAAAGTTTTAGATTGGGCTTGATGTGATCAAAGAACATTAGCAACATGAAATTTTGGCTTAAAATAATGAAATTAATGTTTTGAGTTCAATATAGATCGATGAACAGTAAAATTGATTTTGTTTTAGGTTGGGCTTGATCTAAACAAAAATTTATTGGATCATCAATGGGGTTTTTCAAGAAAAATTTGATCCAACGAGTCAAATGATCACAAATCAAGAACGCAACGCACGATTTCAATGAAATTAAGAGAGATCATAGAGAGAGACTCACCAAAAATTGCTTCAATTGTGACAAAAGTTGCCAAACCGAGAATCGTTCTTCAAAAAATCACGTTGATCTTTGAAGACCCGCTCTGATACCAACTGTAATGATTATAGAACATGGTTTGGCATGCGGAATTAAAGATTGCACAATGAACACGGTGATTTCGGTGTTTAAGAGATGTATTGATTATGTATTGTGTTACAAAAAGGGATCTAGATCTAGTCTACATAAATAACACACACTTACACACTCAACTTTTACACCTCTCAAGCACAACTCAACAAGTGGACTAAGCCCACCTTATATAGAGGTGTTTACATGTCTCTCTCTCACTCTCTATCTCTCATGTGTCATAAGGCTAATACTCCACATGCAAGTGGGTCTACAAAAGTCAAACATTTACAAAGTCAATCATGAATAACTTTGTACCCCAACAACTTCTTCCAGCTCAAACTCAGAACCTCTTGGTTCTGATGGTCCCACTTCAGATCTTAGCTGGCGTAAGGCTTTTGCTTGCTCAACAGTCTGCAAAGGGGAAAAGATCAATGTTAAGGATGAAGGAAAGAACATAAAATGAGATTAGATTAGAAACAAACCTTTAAAGATAGAGAAACTGCTTGTGCTAAATCAGGATCCTCCAATTGCCTTTGACTCATCTGGGAATCCTGTTTGGAAGCCTCAATTGCAGCTTGAACGATCTCTTCTTCAACTCCATGATCGGGGGAATCACCGATTCCAGGAGCAGTTGCTGTCAAACGAGTGTTTACACCTTCATGTGATGGAAGAGAAGTTGGAAAGTCTTCAACATCATCATCATCATCATGTCCATGAAATCCTCAGGTGGAGGTCTCTGAGATGGAAGAGTTGGATCATCTATGTCCATGAAATCCTTAGGTGGAACAGCAATGGAGGTTTACTGTCTGCTATAATAACATAAGTGAAATATGATTCAGAATGTAAGATGGAAGTTGAGAGCTTATTAAATGGTGAAGAAAACTAACATGTTTCTATCTCCTTCAGTGAAATGTGCATTAACAGCTACATTGAGATCTCCACCATGTTCCTGATAGAAATATAGATAGCAAATATCTTAGTAAGCTTTGAAATTTACAAATTTAAAAGGTAAATCCAAGAAAACATGAAGCAAAAATACTCAAAGCCATGAATCCTCACCAAAGCAAATGCAAAATTAGACCATTTTGAGATAATCTCACTTGTTGACCTTATTGTTGCCAAATAAGTTACAAACAGGAACCAAAAAAAATTGCTACCTTTCTACATTGAGATCTCCACCGATGATGCTGATTATCCAGACTGGCCTTGGAAAACGACATCAATGGAGGTGAAGGGAACGCACAAAGAAACCCCTGTGAAAGAGAAAGCAAGAGTCGATTTGAAGCAACTGCAAATTTAGCTTTTGGCAGCAACGGAGTTAAGTAAGCAGGATCATACCCAAAAGCGATCCTGCAAATATTATCCAGTGCAAATCTTTGAAGAATGTCTTGGAGATCAAGAACCGTATCATTAGCAGCAGCAGTGGTTAATATTGGGATTAAACATTTGTTGAGTTCATCATCGACAACATTTTCGACGAAATGGCGAAGAGAGTTCGTGTTAAATTCATCGCTGGAAAGCTGTCTCTGGAACTTCCATTCGTCCGCATCGACGTTAAAGATTCCATCTCCAAGCAGATCGAAAAGGGTTGACCAGAAAATATCGCCTTTTTGGTATGTTGAGAATTTAGTCTTGAGGATATGCTGAACGTTTGTGGGGTTTCCGGTGAGCACACGGTTTTGAACGAAATGACGGCGGAGCAAGAAGTTGAAGTAGTAACCGACAAATGAAATTGAAAGTTAGAGGCGCTACACTCCTTTTTTTTGTTCGTGTCACCACACATCAACATAGAGAAATCGAGAACCCCTGCGGGTTTGATCTATTCAAAAGACGGGATCAGAGATTTGGTGATATTGCGATTTTGTTGTGGGAGAAAAGAGGATTAGTGATGATATTAGGGTTTTTTTGGGTATTAAAGTGAGAGAGATATTGAGAGAGATAGAAAAGAACGATGGAAATAAGGTAGAGTAAAACAATGGCGGCCTTTCAAACTTTTGGGATTTTCGTTTCCCCCCAGCTGCAAAAGAAGAGAACGCGCCTTTCATTAAAAAAATATAAAGCGACATTTCTAGACGACACCCAGTTTTAAATAAGTGCCCTCCGTGTTTTTATTTTTTTGTTGGTCATTAATTTTAGGGCACGCACAAAAGCGTGTCCTCTATCCTTCAAATTTTAGAAGAGATGACATTATTTTTAGGGCACACGCTTTTGCGTATCGTAAATCACCGCGTGTCATTGTTTGCGCGTCATTAAAGGGTTGTTTTCTAATAGTGTATTCATTAGGACTTTGTATACTTTAGTGTCAATGTGTAAAGACCAGAGGGTAGGAATGCCCGCAAATTTTTGGGCTTCCTGAATTCTACCTCCTAGAGAATGGTAGCAAGTTTCTTGGGCGGGTGTAGAAAATTCTACACCAATCTGATTTTGGACAGGTGGATTTTTGTTGATTGGGAGCATTACTTAAGGGTGGAACAACTCTAAGATGTTTAGGATTAGTCTTAGTGGAAGCTCTATGGGATGTGGACATTTTAGAGTGTTAAGATATGACTTTAAAGAACAAAACACAACCAAAGGGAGGGATTAGCGACTACCAATAGATAAGAACACACAAAACAATCAAATATTCAAGCTTATATGAACAATTGCAAGAAAATAAAATCGGAAGGAGAATACCCGATATTTGTAGCTTCTACTCGAAATTAATAATTGAACTCACTTACCTTATGCTTCCCTAAGCTTAATCAACAAGCAATTTAACAAAAATACAAAATTTTCCGACCCAAAAACTATAGGGTTCCTCACTTGGCCGAAAATGTCCGTGGAAGGAGCTCCATTGCATGTTGGGGAATAAGGAACAAGTTAAAGAGTAAGAAAACATACCTTTTGATCTTAGATTGAAGCAAGAATCAAAAGGAAATCAATGAGTGTGTATGTGTGTGTGTATGTTTTTGCGTCTTGTGTCGGTAGTAGCGAGAGGAGGGGCAGAAGAGTCTTTGTAATTTTTAAGAACAAATGGGGGCAAGAAGCCTAAATTCATTTAAGTGAAAAAAACTAGGAATTTCTCGGAAACCTGTTCCACGGTCGTGGACTGGTAAAGGCAGCTCATTCCACGGTCGTGGAATGTTAGATAGATACTGATTTTTTTATTTCAATTCCGCACACTTCTAAACCACACAAAAATTATTTTTAGACTCCCCTAAGTATTCTAAGCACTTTGGAACATAAAAAACATGAATTAAACTGTTCATACGAAACTTTTACAAAATAAATGATGAAAATACCCCCGATTTGCCTCTCGGGTAGCTGCCCTTGTTTAAAGTCGGTGGCTTGACAGGGACCCCAATGATTTGTCAAATTTGGTACTTTGGATCCTCTACTTCCTCCACTTCTTCATTTTTTACTTCAAATCCTTCATAATAAGGCTTCAAATGGTGCCCGTTTACCTTGAAAATCTTCCCAGTTTTCTCACTTACAATCTCTATTTCACCATGCTCAAAAACATTAGTGTAACACCTGGAATCTAGAAGGCCAATTAAGGAAAGGTAATATTCATTTCTAAAGGTCAGCTCATCGAGTTTGGGCAAGAAACTCGATTCGTTGGAAAGTTGGGCCGCGTGTTTTTGGAAGACCAACTTGACGAGTTGGGGAGGATAACCTCGATGAGTTGGACGGGGTTTGGGAAACCCTAAAATTGGGACTTTGGACCCTATTTAAACAACTTCAAACCTAAGGTTTGGCCTCATTTCCAGCCTCCAAGTCCCAACCCTAAATCTCGAAACCCTAGAAGCATAGTTGAGTGTTTATAAGTTTTGTTGAGCATTTGTGGGTGTTTGAAGCTCTTGGAAGGAAAAGGAAGTTTGGAGGGACAAGAAGGAGCTACCAGATCCAGAACCTTTGCCTAATTCTCGACATTTTGCTGGTAAAAAGCTTGAACCTTGCTCTATGGTTATTTAGATATTCATTTAGTTCCCTTTTTTGCTTGTTTTGGTCCAAAGGAGATGAGTATTGAGGAGTTAGACGTCCCAAGTGGAGAACACTTCAGATATAGGGTCTTGAGGGGTTTTCATGGCATAAAGGTGCCAAGTTTATGGCCCTAGAAGCCCCATGCAGCATCTAAGCTCTTGGTTTGCCATTTCAAGCTCCAAATGGTCATGCATGTGGGTAAAGTTTAAGACTTTACGTGCCCTTCTAGTCCCTGGAGTCCAGATCTATGTTCTTATGTCCTATCTTGAAGTTTTGAGGACTCTTGGATTTAGATTTAAGCCTTTTTGGGTTAGGGTTTGAGCTTATTCTCTTTAGGAAGGGATTAATGGGTAAAGTTGGAAACTTTACCCTTCTAAAAGGTATTTCCAGTCTAGATCTAGGGTATTGGGTGTAGATCTGAAGAAAAATGGCTTAATTCATTAAGAAGGAGTAAACAGAACGAAGAACTCGACGAGTTCACGAAGGAACTCGACGAGTTGATGTGAGTATGACCCGGTCTGTTGGAAAGGAAAGAACTCAACGAGTTAAGGGAGAACTCGACGAGTTTATTCGTAGTATCACAATTCTATGGTTTATGGGAACTCGCCGAGAGTATGGACGACTCAACGGGTTGAGTCAACTCGGAGCGTTGACTTTAACCACGACTTGGATTTTGACTTTGAACTTGACTTGACTTGACCGAGGTTGACCCCTGGAGGGTTATGAAGTACGAAATGGGTTCTAAAGGGTAGTTCCATGTAAGGGATTGGGCCCAATTTGGAAAATTGGGCCATTGTTGGGCTTCATGGATTTTATAGTTTAGGCCTTGATGGGTCAGGGGTGAAACAGTCATTTCACCCCAAGTAAGGATTACGGATTATGGTTTGGAACCTAATTGCTAATCGGTTGATGTTTTGGTATGTATAGCTCAGGGAATTGTCAGGGCAGCAGCTAAGGGTTTCGTGCAGTACGCTTCAGCATTTGAGGTGAGTCTCCTCACTGTTTGTATGGGTCGAAGGCATCAATGTCAGCCCATTTGGTTTATGTATAGTAGGAAGACCCGGGGGTTAGCCCTAGGCATTAGGTATCAAAGACCAGGAGATGGCTCCTGGCACACTGTATGCTATTTAGCTTAGTAGAGTAGTATGTATGCTAGTTTTCTTTGTGATGCTTGCATGGAAGGCCAGGAGGTGGCTCTTGGCACTTGTCTGTAAGACCCAGGGGGTGGCCCCCGGCTTGGCATGAAAGACCACATGGTGGCCCGTGGCATAATGACAAGACTATGTGCGACACATAGCACCTTTATTGATTATGATATATGAATGATATGTATGGCTCACGGTTATGTATGACATGTATGGATCAGTTGATATGTATGGTATGTGGTATTTGGGGAAATCACTAAGTTTCGTGCTTACAGTTTTCATTTTTTGGTTTGAGGTACCTCCAGTTTTCAAATAAAGGAGCTCGGGACAATCGCAGCGCATACACCTATGTTTTTCCGTAATATGTGATTTCTGGGAATGAACTCTGATAAATGTTTTATTTAAAGTGTTTTTCTGTGTGTGAACAAAGTTACAATAGTGTTTTAGTTATATTAAAAATGAAATTTTTACCTTGAAATTTTGGGATGTTACAAGTTGGTATCAGAACCTTGGTTTAAGGGATTCGGGCAAACTCTCGGGTGTGCCTAAACTAAAACTGAGGGCTTGGTATGAAAATGTTCAAAAGAAAAATCATTTTTATAAACAGAATTTCTAAGAAAAGAAAGGGGTGTGATGCGTGCAATCGACTGAGCTCAAGTAAGTGGTTCCCAAAATACCAATACATGTTTGTTATGTGATATGATATGATTATGTGATTCGCATGCTAGATTAGAGTTAAGGATCTAGGAGAGATGCCTTTGTATGCTTATGTGAGCTTGTAGATTTGCATGGTAGAACTAATCAGCCAGTGGTAGGATGGCCTGTTTAGGTTATGCCTGATTGTATGAGCCTTAGAATTGCATGCTAGTACAGATTCCTGATTAGAGGATAAAATGGTTTGATTGGAGTATGTTGGTTAGTTTTTCCATTGTCCGAATGCTGCTTCCTTTGTGCTTTGTGGGACTATTAGCAATGTGAGTTAGCCACTAAGTGAATATGCTAAGTCACATGTGGCACATACTGGAAAATCTCAAAGTGGTCGATTTGACCTTATTGCGTAGCTCTCGTCTGAGTCCAACCGTTCTAGGGTTGAGTCTTTTACTCGAAGTATTATCTGGTCCCTGTTGCATGTGGCTATATTCATGAGGTAGCTAGTTGATATTAATGGGAATTTTTCAGCAGCTGAGGAATGGGTGGGTGCGGGAACCTAGGAAAGCCTAGGATATGCTGCAGTGGGTTAGTAGTATGGTTCAATGAGTACTGGGATAATGGTTTGAAGAAGTGACTTAGAGGATTCAGGAGGATTGCTGAGGAAAGTATGGATAGGTGTGGAAGGTAGTATTGGGCCCATACTACTGAAAGCACATGATCCATACTCGAATCGGCGAGAGTCTTGGAGAATCTATGAAGCTTATGAGAGGTGGATTCTTGGGTATGTTCTGATTGTTGGCTTGATTGTACTTCAGTTTGGAGATGATCTCTCAAGGAGACGGTTCAAGTTCGGGTTCCGGCTCAGGTGGAGGTGCTGAGCCGATTAGCGAGCAGTTGCGGGAGTTCATTTCATTGGAGATCTCTCGCTATGTTTTGGAGATAGTGGACGAGCGCTTGGGCGTGTTCCGTGCGGAGATTATGGCTATCATTGGAGCTCGCACACTGACTTTCCAGGAGTTCCGTGCTTGTGGAGCTCCTATGTTCCATGGGGAGAGGGACCCCATTTTCAGTAGGAGGTGGTTAGCAGATATGGATAACGCGTTCTAGATAAATTTCTGCCTCGAGGAGGCGAAGGTCTGATATGCTTCCTGCCTGTTGAAGGATCAGCCGCGTGATTAGTGGGAGGAGATCAGTAGTGAGTTGGGTGATGATGCGGTCGATGATATGTCATGGAATGACTTCTCGGCCAGGTTCCAAGTTGAGTTTGCACCGACGATTGAGGTGCAGCAGTTGATGCGAGAGTTCCTGGATCTCCGCCAGACTACTGAGACGGTGGCAGAGATCACTGCCAAGTTTCGGGAGAGGGCTTTATTGGTACCGTAGTATGTAGCAGACGAGGAGATGAAGAAAGTGATGTATCACGATATGCTACGGGATGACATCAGGAAATTCGTGAGTATTTCAGGGTGTGAGACCCTAAATGATATGATCTCTAGAGCCCGAGAGCGGGAGATTGATTTGGATCACATTGAGAAGAGGAGGTCAAATAAGGTGCATACTTTGGAGGGTCCTGGGAAGAGACCCAAGACTTCTGACCAGCATTCGAGAGGCCAGCAGGACCGGAGTCAGTGCAGCACGTGCAGGAAACTGCACGATGAGCCTTGTCGTTCCAAAGGTTTGGGTTGCTACAAGTGTGGT